CAAGTGAACGACCATATTTGGCCAGTTAGTCATCATATATATTTACGCAGACGCTCTGTATGTTTTGTCCTGGCAATACAGCCGTGTCCCCAGTTCTCTGTCTTCTCCCTATCGCATAGTCTGACAGGCTCAGTGACAGACGGCCACCAACGATACAACAAATAACCAGTGCTGGGTTCCGTTCATTCAAACCAAACGGCTTCCAGAGATGAAGTACTTCATCGTAATTTGGCAGATACCTGGTTACTTACGGCCGACGCTTTTGAGCCCAAACGACCGGACGAGAACCCACGCCTATTCAACTATCAAATGGGTTATTTAATTTTTTTAAAGAGGTAATTCACCATCCATAAGGTTGCCGAAAATTCTTTGACGGTGTATGAACGGTTTTAGTTTTCTTGAGGCTCAACAGGTAGCTCCAGTTCCCGAGTTTCCGTCAGCCTTATGTTCTACTTGAAACCAAATTGCACGAAATCAGCGCAGTACACTCATTTGCAAACAAGTTTAGTTTTCCCATAGACTCACACAGAACCAAGCTGGATCTGTCGTTTATAATGTATCCAAGCAACTGAATGTGCTGCATCAGGTCGCCCTATGTTTCAGTTGGCACTATACTCGACATACTGTGATACATTGTATAGACATATTACACTACTCATAAGGTTGCTGAAGACTCCGCGAACACAATCTCGACCCTAAATTATCCAGTTTTGGCTCTCAGACCCGTCACGCCATTGGTTTCCACCTGAACCACAAACTGCCAATTCATTTATTCAAACAAAAAGTTGTCTGCGGTCAGTTAATCAAAAAAGAAGCAGTTATTCTAATGAAGGATTTAATAAATTACGCTCTAACCACTCAATCATGTAAGTATACAACTTGAGACATCTGCGAACAGTTGAGTGTAGTGTATTTGTAATAGGGGTAATCTGAAAAGATGGGTCGGTTCCGAAGTACACGCTTTCAATAGCCAAGTACTGATATCGTTAAGCTTTGTGGTCATTTTGAAGATATGGACAGTAAGTTTAGCGATTTCACAAGCTGGAAACGAACTACCAAGTTTTTCAACAAAACTTTGTTGGTGAACCCCCATCGAAGGGCGTGCAGCGAGCTGTGAATCCGATTAGTCGATGGATCGATGAACTGTGTGCCGTTTCCCTTGAAACGAATTTGTGCGAATCTATCGGTCAAGAAGTGATCTAACGGGTTTGATTTTAAAGAAAGAGGATGGTTTGACCACGAAGATTTCCGGGCAGAGTCACGGTGTGGGAAATTAAGCGTGTGTAGTGGCCAAACTCTTGTTTCTCCAACCAACTACGCTTAATTTGTCTAGTACATCTGCTCTCATCAAGTCACGTGCCACAAGCACTCGAACCACGTGACAAAACCCAGTTCCGTCCATGTTGTTTACGCTGCTGTCACCTGCATCACTTGCCAGCTTCACCCACAACAGGTCAAGATGTTTTCAAGTTTGTGCAACTGTCAAACAAAAATGACCACTCCTCTCTTTAAAGTTCACACAATAGATAGGCAACTCTGCCCACACACACACACATACGAGGCAGGAAGACACGAGTCCTGGATACTTCCGGAACATATGTAGCAGCTACACTACAAAGAAAACATCTTACGTCCTGACCTTTCATTCGGGAACTATTACCAGTCATGTACAAACGATATGACAACGGCACGCAGTTCACGGACAAACGAGAGAAAAATAAGGGGAGATATCATAGATTGTGTTCAAAACGATGAGTCACCCTTCTGAACCATTTCATTCTGACATTTTACCTTTGTTAGTTCGTAATGCACTACTCATAAGGTTGCTGAAAATTCGCCAGAGCTTCTCAACTTCATTTCATCGCAGTGGAAGTACCAACAATTTGGTGAGCCAACAGACCCCACGTGTTCTCATGTTCAATGAGGTCACTGAAATCGATCGATTCGACCTCCATTGTGTGTCCCAAATGAACTCGAGATAACCCTGAGGTTGTCTTGTAACTGACATGTGGGCGATCAATTACCTAATCCCGTTTGATAGGGATGATGAGTCAACATCATTTTTCGTCTTTGACTTGTTTCGTTTAACTCATTGAAGTGATATGAAGTTTTCGAGCCCATCCTTTAGGTCTTGAACAACAACTAGCCTACATTAACGAAATACACTCATTTGCAAACAGATTTGGTTCTTCGAGAAACTCACCTGGAACCCAGCTGAATCTCTCGTTTGTGTTGTTGCCAGGCAACTGAGTGTGCTTCATCACGCCTTCTCATGTTTCAGTTTGACGATATTCGAGATATCATTATACATGTGTAATCATAACGCACTACTCATAAGGTTGCTGAAAATTCGTCGACAGCCTACGATCGGTTTCGTCCTTGTTGGAGCTCATCAGGTAGACACAGTCCCCGAGTTTCCGCCAACCACATGTTCTAACTCGTGCGATTTGGTTTTAGGTGGACCATACGGTTGACGGAAACTTGAGGAATGCGTCTAGTAAGGCGGGTTCACTTTGGTGGGGAGTTGAGCGCTGATTCTCATCGCTACACAGTAGAGCTATACATCATTCTCATGAATTCCACCGATGGAAAGACGTGATCCACTGCCAGGATATGCATGAATTCATAGTCCAGTCATTATTGACAGAACACTGATTGAAGAACTCGCCTTTGCTTCAAGCGAACTCTAATAGATCCTTTGTTTTATGGGTGAGGTTGTAGCGACCCAGTCACCCACACACTTGACTGTTCAGCCCACAATCGCTCACTGGATCACGAGACTTGTCTCTTTTTCATGCCACAACCACGTTACATTAAGGTGACTCATCAGACGTCGATTGTCTGCACCGTCTAGTGAGCGTACCAACCACTCACGTGCTGACGCGCCCATATACGCGCAAACGGACCCACATTATAGGGGAACCGAACGCAGTCAGCACACACAGTCTCGCGCGCGCGCAGGGAGCAATGAGTCAGCCAAACACTCCAAGTCACCGGACAATCATGGAACACGTGTAGCAGCTATACTGCGAAGAAAACACGTTCCCACCGTCCGGACTTTTACCAAGGGACTCTCACATACGATAAGTTCCCTTTTGACTTGCTCCCATTTCGCATTGTATTTATTTTTATACGTGTTGCAACCCTCCACTGTCCACCGTACTAAAACCTTCTATTAGTGCCCATAGACCTTCTGATTTGTATTACGGCCATCAACAACTGTGCACTAATACGGTCAGTCTATACCGAAAGCCTGAAATGCTCAGTACTGGTGTACATCCTTCCGGGGATTAACTAGAAATGAGCACTCCACAGTCTTTAGAGAGATCGAAAAAAATTCCGGTCATATGGCTAGCAGTTGGAACCCATTTCTTTCGACCAAGAGCACCCGACCAGCACCGTGAACAGCTCGCTCTTGGGCAGGATGTAGCGCCACACATGCTGCAGTCACGTGACCCACTTCACATAGTCGCATATATGCTGGTTCCACGAGTGATATAGGGTTCACTCGTCGTCTGAATTGTTATTCCTTCCGAGTTGCTTTTGATTGGTTGATCGATTCCAAAAGCAGGCCGATGTATGCGTGATAATCTTCACCCCGATGACATGGTTGTAAAGTGTTCTCTGTGCCTGATCATCACTCATGAACTCACTTTACAAGAAACTAACCCTTCAGTACCAGTAAGAGATTGTGTTAGAGGAAACCCCCACAGGAGAGGAGTTACTATTTAAATTTGACTTTTGGAATATCAATAGACCAGCACAATCGCTGATGTAAGGGGATTTCGTCGTGCTACCTATAAAATCGACGAAATATTGGACGGCTCATCACCGGTTTCGTTCCGGTTCGTTGAAGACCAATCCGCGGATTTCGATCCATGGTTTTCTCATATTTGAGCTCCAGACTGTTCCTGTGTGGAAGTAAGCACTGATTTTCAGTTTAAGTTGGCGGTAGCGAAATTCTGGGCTTAAATAATATAGATGAAGTGATTAGACCAGTTTCACCTGGGCCTGACGTCGACTCCAAATTAATTCGCAAACGAGTGATTGTCGCCAGGATCCCACTACGACCTGAGTTTGATTTGTTTCTTCAAGTCTCGCCCATGGTTACTCTACTCCACGTGCGCGGACGTCTTATAGAGGTCTGGTCCTAGAGCAGATGAACCCAAAGCCCAGTGCTGGACAAGATTTTAATGGTTTCACACAACTGCAGCGTTTGAATGCCTCTGAAGCCACGCTAGAGAAACCATCAGTTGCACGCAAACTACAGGGATTCAACTGACCAAGTTATTGTATTATCTTGCTTGCAATCGGCTCCACTGAGGATAATCTTAGTTTTAGTTAGGGTTTCAAGATACTGTGTGGAAAAATCCAATCGATTGGAGCCCTGGAACAGACCTAATTCCAACATGTCAAAGTTTCGAAATGCAAGTGCACGGGAAACTGAGTTCATTTGGTAGGTCGCATGAAACTGTTGGTTAGTTCTCATCTCCAGAAAGAAGATTCAAGCGGGGCTCTTTAATTGTAAAAGTCGAACACGGAGAAGGCCGAATTCCGATCAGTGTGCTAGGTCCAAGATTTGGTGTCGGGCGGATAGGCAAAACACAAATCATTCGAAATAATTCATGGGCTGTGTACATTTAAGAAGTTTCGGGTGTACATGAGGACATAGTGAACTGACAAAACATTTAAAAATTAGATAGCACTTCCACAGAAAAGAACAAAATCCTCAAACGTATACGGTGAGGATGGGGAATAGGCATTCAGCCAGTAGAACCGAACTGTGGCGATCTATGGCTTGTCTGAAACCAGTCTAAATCAGTCAGTGTTCAAAGCAAAGATGACTACACAGATACTGAGTTGCACATAAGTCAACTCATGCTTGCAAATCTACAATTCAGCGGATTAGCTGGGAAAGAAGTACACGAGCGGGAAGCATCAAATGCTGGTTGGTTGGAAATTCCATTCAAGCAAACTGTTCACTGCGCCCAAACACTGAATCATTCCAGAGTATGGTGATAACGCAATACCGAATCGATCCACGTTCTGAAATGAGAGGCGCCAGTGAAGATTGACGGGCCATTTAGGTTTCCAGAATTGGCTACTCCCGCCAATATTTCTTTGCCATCAACCGAAGGGCACACTAGTGGACCGCCACTGTCACCCTGTGTTTGAAGGGGGGGTCAAGAAGAATGATTAAAATTCAAGGATGATCTGATGGGTCAACACATTGGTTAACGCATTGGTTAACGTTAAAACTTAAAGCTGCAGACGTACCATAGAGTACATATTTCGTTTTGTCAGTGAAACTAATCTATGGTGAAAAACCGAGAAACACTGTACAGCTTTCTCACCCTGGTTGGGAATCACCATCAATGTTCATCTCACGAAACTCCAGCTGGAAGTTTCGAACGCTCGAACTTCCGGTCAATGCGTGAACACTAAACGGCTTTCCCACGAGTGGCTGGACAGCAACGCGATTGGCCAATTTATACGCTGAGTGACTTCGGTGAAATTCACTCACATTGGACAGATGACAGCGTCACAAGGATTGGTTGATCACATCAGCGCGTTTATTGGTCCAAACACACAGGTCAAGAATGAAGCCGCCGTTGGTCTGTTGCACAGCGCTATTTCATTCACCATTCCTGTTTATAATTCGTCGGGATATTTATTTCAAAATCATATCTGATGGATTCGTCCGTGAATATTTGTCAGCATGGGTCCCGTGACATTCTACGTCAAACACAGTGGTGTAAAACTCGGCACGGGCAACCAAACAAGAGATAGTCCAAGATGGATAAAATATAACCTGTGTCAATTTAGCATCATTTTGTATATCTGACTGACTCCCATTGATCGAGACGTCTACTCACAACTAGCTTTGTACTTTGTACCAATATTGAACGCAAGATTAATTTCTCGCCCGTCCGAATCCTCGGTTTTCACCGACTACTAAGAAAATCAGCAATTTATCGAATGCTAGCGTCCCCCTGAAGAGCTCGTAAATGCGTTATAGAGGCTCAGTACGATGCAAAAATGTGGCCGGCTTACGCGTTTAGATGTCACGTTATCGGAGCACCCCGCACCTGAACAAACAGAACCATTATGGTCTGTAGTAGACAAACGAAACAAAACTGAAATGCCTTGCTCAACATAAACCCTACCTGTGCTTCCATAGCTCATCAAGCCCCGTTCATGTCACACCCTTCGTTTACAGCAAGGCGAATATACTTTCCTTCACTGTTAAACCGGTCACTTGATGTGCTGATTGTTAAGTGCACTCACAGAACGAAGATACACTCCACCAGCCAATTGATGGCATATATATTCCATAAAAGTACGGCCTCTTGGCTGCAAAATGCTCTCAGCTGCAAAACATTTGTGAGTGGAATCAAACGTTTTACGCCAAAATGTTGCATTTTGATCCGAGTGTTTGAGCGAACCAAAGATCACCCAAATCTACCATCCGATTTTTGCAACTCGCCACACGAAAGTATCCATACCTCTGGCGTAAAAATACCGGTGGAATACTTTCCTAGCGTCTCAGGGACCGCGGGATGCCTAGATGGGGCTGATCTTAAAAACTCAATTGCCCGTCTGTTTTATTCCATCGGGGACACATCGTAGCTTTTGAGAATTCAATTCCATTTTGCAAATACTGAGCACCGTAGAAGAACTATGCTGCACATAACCTGACACCATCGAACCGATGTCGTAAAAAGTACATCAACTTTTCAGACGATTAACTGATCATGTAATGGTTGCTGAATTTATAACAAGTAGCGATCAATAAGCCTTGATCCGCCACATGCCTCTCGGAAATTGGTGCGCTTCTGAACGAATCCACTCACTTGCACACCAGTTTAGTCTTCACGGGATACAACTAAATCCTAACTGAATCTCCTGTTCATGGTATTCCTTGACTTAAGGTACTGACTGCACGAATGCCGCTCTATGTTACACTTGGTACCAAAATCAAGATATCAAAGTTCAAATCAACATCAGTAGGTTTTTGGATGAACCCTGAACATGAGTTTTTTGTTTGCATTCTGGGAGGTTTTGTTGATTTGGGTGTAACCCACCCTTCTCCAGACAGCATGCCTTTAGGCTGATGAGGTTGCAGTATACAAAGCAGATATTATTACAAAAGTCCCCAAAAAACTGAACCCGGTGTTTGCATACATGACACAGTCCTTTCCCCTGACGGACAAATCCCGCACAAAGCTTGAACGGACTAAGCTCTTTGTTCTTGTAGATTTCACCACACAGGGAATGCGGGATCGTGGTCAACTCCACAGCATGTTGCTGATCTCTGACTGCACCACGTGAGCCACCACACCCCCAGCCGATGGCAATGCAGTTCTGTAATAGAAAAGTAGAGAAAAATATCCAATGATCCGAGGCTCAGCTGTATGACATATATGTTTTTGTATTTGTATTCATACTGTACTCTATACGCCTCATCTGTTAAACGAATGAATATCTCCTTGGGTGGGAATAAAAACCAAGTGGTACTACTAACCCACATCTCGGACTTAATGGCTGATTCCTAGGGGGCCGTAACTCTATTCAAGCAAAGTATAAAGCGTACATCAAACAGTGTGAGCCAATTGATACTTGGGTATTCTTAATGACTAAGGTGGGTCATCGCCGCTTGTTTCATCAAATGCTGTGTATCATGATGTCGGTTGTGCCTAAGAGAAACCCAATGCGCGGTTTTGAATTGTACTTTCTATTATTCGAAAAGAAGATTGAATCTGCTCTCTACCCAAACGCAAAGTTTGGTCATTAATGGTTATATAAGTGAAATACAAATGGTTCGTCCAATGCAATTGTGCTCCCTGTATAGAGGGCAATCGCATTACCGTAGTCCCAACTACATACACACGGTGATATTGCTCCATTGATGTCAAACTACCTGGAAGGATTAGTGAACTAGAAAGTCATATTTGCAGTGGAAATTCCAGATAAACTACATGAATACATTCAACGATCACAATATTATTGATTGGATTGGGACAAAAGCAAAGTAATGAAATTAATTCATAAACTGCTTAGAGTAAAGAGATATCTGTTTGTGTATGACTACATCTCAGTTGTATTTGCTGAAAAAACACTTGAAAGGAGTAATCAGTTTGAAGGCCATTTGGCGAATTTGCGAACAGTATTCATCAATTTGTGTGCGATCACCATTTGGTTGGGAATCACTGAATAGACTTCAGAATGAAATCGACAAGTTTCCGCCAATTTTATGTTCTAATTGAACCCTGACTGAACGAATTTCCAGAAATACACTGATTTGCAAACCAGTTTGGTTTTGACGGGAGATTCATATGGAATCCAGTTGAATCTCTCATCCAGGCTATTCTACAGCTCAATGCGCTGCTACTCACATGACCACACCGACTTGGAGCTAATTCAGTTACTCCAGGTGACTAATATTACTAATATTAGTATTACTAGTTATATATTTATATCATATCCTCATAAACGAAACTACTCAAAAGGTTGCTGGAAACTTCGACAGCCCACGATCGGTTTCGTCCCTCTTGAGGCTCGTCAGGTAGGCGCAGTCCTCGAGTTTCCGTCAACCTCATGTTCTACTTGAACCCAAATTGGGTTGTTTTCGGGAACTACACTCAGTTGCAAATCAATTTGGTTTTCACGACAGACTCAACTGAATCTCTCGTTTATGATGTCCTACAAGTGAATGAATCAGTTGAATCTCTCGTGAAAACCAAATCGATTTGCTAATGAGTGTATGTCATATCCTATTAATATTAATAATATTATGAATAATATTATAATATACCACTAATGCTACTCATGTTACTTGGAACCACACAAGACCAAGCAGAAAGGCGTTGCCACGAATAAGCACAAAGCCTGAAGCTGTCAGGTCCCACAATATGGTTCGAAATGGTCAAGCTGCTAGAGTTGGTCGACAAAAATCTGGGGAACTTCACTCAGTTGACCACTGTACATTGGATGAAATAGGTACGAATGCGAACGCAGAAAGAAGTCGCACTCTTAGGTGCCCAGACTTCGTCTGTTATACAGTTGGTGAGTTGTGTTCACAATTATTCAAAAGAAAATGTCATTTTCTGATACATACCGAGCCAGGGGGTGGCCATACCCCAGTAGGAGTGTGTTTTGGCAGTCTGAGTGGAGCAAAGCCTGGTACAGCCTTGAATGGTACACTTTCTTTCAGGTACACAAGCGCAATATCTTTGTAGAGCCCCTGAGGATCTGTGAAAAGCGAAAAACGTTTGGTTGTTATTTCATGGTGGTGGACATAAACTGTCAATAATTAGGTACTCCAGGACGATGATCTACTGATCCGGTCACTCTCGCACAAGGCGAGATAACCAAACAAAGGAAAAACGGAATTCCCATTTAGATTCAAAACAGGTTTATGTCATTCAGGCATAATTTATGGAATAAATGTCGCAAAACGAAGCAACTAGAGCTCACAGGACCAAAAACCCTCCCGAAAACGTGTAAAGTAAGAATACTAAGCACACTAAGCATACTATAATGTACATACTATATTTACATAGATCAGTGGCTAGAGCGCAAGTTTACTG